ACAGAACCTGCACCCTCTGGGAATCCCCATCGATGATGTGCCCTGACAGAGCTTCTTAGGGATAGTCCCGCAGAGGAGACAAAGTTTTCACCGAGTCTAATTAGACGTCTCAGGACGAGTTCAGAGGAAAGGGACAGAAAGATCAAAGAAGAACATCGCGCGAAGTGTAAAAAATAGGTGTAAAAGGAAGATTTGATGTACTCAATAGGTCAAACCAACTGAGGGAATATTAGGTATATGACACTGTTGGAACGAATTACAAAAGGTTAAAACAAAAAAATTGAAGGGGTAAAATGATAGTTAGAGTTGAACTCTGCTGCCACTGAAAATACCTTTAACCAGTCAACTTATATTTCATAGTTATTTAATTGATTGAAGAGGAAGGAAAACATGGCGCTGACGAGTGCCCCCCCCCCACCCAACTACGTTAGTCCCCTTCCGTCCGAACTACTGATTGTTCCCCTGTAAACAGCGAAAGGTTCTGAAGATTCTAAAACAGGGAAAAATAGAAAATTCTGAGCTCTTTTGAGCCCACCCCGTAGCGCAAAAGTGTGCTCTAATGAGGCCCGTGAGCAACGGAGCACGCGTCCTTTAAGGGATGAGTAATTTTCGTGACCATGTGGGGTCGTCCTCCATTTTTTAGGGGTCCGGCAATTGCTAAGGTTTTCGGTGCTCCTGATTAACACGTTGAAATGTTGCGTACTATTAGATAGCTTATCTTGTTTCCTACTGCCCCTTATAAGGCCTTAGTTAGAGTTTGTTCGAAGCTGTTTGTGGTCCGAATTTTGATCCATTTTTTTACTCTGAGGTTTCATTTTCTTGGCTATTTTGAGCTCTGTTCTCACCTGGGACGTTCTTGAAGTCTTTTAAAATTGCATTGTTTGTCCCTATCAGATTAGTCGTATGTTTTCTGTTCAAAATCTGTGATAATCGATGATATTTCGTACGTTCCCCTTTGTTTCACCGGTAGCGGTGCCGGTTTCGAAAGCGCCGAACTGATCCGCCGTGATCGATCGGTCCGCAATCTGTCGTTCTCATCACCGTCGTCGTCGTTGTCGTCAAGTGTTCTGTCCCCCCTTTGTCCACCATCTCATATCGTCTCCAGAATGACTGCACTGCTCCAGATGGGCATTTTCGGCGATTCAAGCTCGCCATTCGATGAATACATCGACAAAGTCACTGCCGAACATCTAACCACTGAAAATTGGGCTATGATTTTGGACGTTTGCGACAAAGTGAACAGTGATCCTCGTGCTCCAAAGAGTGCATTACTCTCCATTCGTAAACGGTAAGTTTTGCTTGATACTTCTTTATATTCTTCATTTTCTGGGCGTTGTTTTTTTAATTATTATAATTCACAATGCTATACTGTCAAGAATATTAAAACGCCATCAACTTTCGATTAGTTTACTTTTGCGTTCACGGTGCTGCTGCGAATTATTTTCTATGCGGATTATGGCCCATTCGTTGAAGCTCACTTTTCTTTGATATTTTTACATTTTTACTTTTCCATTCTTTTTGTTCCGCTCTATCCCTGTTGAGCCTGGTAAAATAGCCGCTGCATAGGATAAAGATCTGGCTTAGCTGAGACTTACCAAGTCTTAGGAACAAATAACAAGAAGGTGCACTAATGGTAACGCTTCTTGGGCGTTAAGTTATTTCCTATCAACGCGCGAGGCAATTTTATGGGGGCTTGTGAAGGTTCTGTAAAACTGCAAAATGGTGCGAACTTTCTTTTGTGCTTTTTTTCATTCGTTTTTCTTATGTTGGAGTGCGTTTATGCTTTGCGGACGCGTTTTGAACGAGCGTTCTAAGCAGCCACCTGCATTTTTGTGACTAAGAAAGTATAGATATCGATATCGTTGAAAGCTGGCAGATTTCAAAACGTTTGGATCGATACCTATACTTTTCTAGTCGCCGAAAACCTGTCACATGCTCTAGCGCAAAGTATGAACACACTCTGACCCTCCTTTGAGCTTCCGAGGACGACGTTTTGGACGAAATGTTAGGCCATCTGTAGGGTATTCCGGCTTACAACCTTGCTCGCGCCAAAAGCATCCAAAGATTTAGCATTCTTCAAAATCCTGAACAATCAGCCGTTTTGTTAGATATTGGGAAATAATTATGCTAACTGAAAAATGTTTGCTGGGCGAAAAAGGCTGCGGTATGAATGCGATTGACGTTAAGGACATGTATAACGGAGCTTCTGTAATATTATGCATAGCACGATATCGGCAAAGCTTACGAACAGTTCTCAATTCCGCCTAACTTCTTGTTCCTAACTTGACATTTTTGCGATAAATTGCGAATTTATCCATTAGCTGCCAAGTTGGTTATTACAGAATTTTTGCTATTTTTTCCAGACTAAATCATCGCGATCCTCATGTGGTGCTACTAGCTCTATCAGTATTGGACTCGTGCTGGAGTAACTGTGGACCAGCATTTCGTAAAGAAGTTTCTTCGGCTAGTTTTATCAACGAATTGCAGGCGAAAGCCACGCATGTAGGTGTTTTGATAGCAATCTTCACTCTTTCCCACTTTAAAATGATGTTTGCGGCAGTCACTTTGGTAGTATTAGTATAGGGTAGTAGTTGCAGTACTCGTTTAGACGGGACTTAGGTAGCACTGACAATGATTGAGAACATGGTGGTCAATCTTGTCTGTCCAGATGACTCCTTCGCGTCGCTCCGTGTGTGCAGATAATCTTCTAGACCAATAAAATAAGCATTTTTAGAAAGGCGCTTCGAAAAATTGCTGAAAACGAAAACGACAAACGCTGAAAATTGTCCTTTTTTGTAGGCAGCTCTCGCCTGTCCCCTGTCTATGGGAGACGGACAAGACAGTTGTAAGTTCGTAGTTCGTGGTACAGTTCCTGGCACCTTCGCGCGCGACGTATCGTGCGGCCATGCGACAAATCCGCGATGTGTATCAGTTAGTTGATTGTAGTAGCAAAGCTCGTATGAACTCAAGCGAAGGCAACATTCCAAGACGGATGATATAGATCTTTTACGTCCTTTAGCAATCGAATTCAAGCGGCCAGGCAGGACAACTCTTCACCTTCCGCACTGCGGCTGTGAGTGGGGGTAGAACGCGTACCGATTCCAAAAAAAGATTGATCAACAGTCAAGACTTTGTCTTTTATCAGTTGTAGGATTTTGGGTACATATTCCTTCCGCATTTAATGAAATTATTGCAGAGTACTCGCCTTGTTGCTGAAAAGACAAGAACGATGATCCAGAAATGGGTGGAAAATGAATGTAAATCCGATGCATCTCTTTCACTTGTTGCTACACTTTATAAGAATTTGGTTGCGGATGGCTACTCGTTCTCATCAAATGAACCAAAGAAATCAAGCCTAAGTCGAGACATCCAAGCGGTACTGCTTTTTGTATTAATTCTAACTTGAACTCACTAATTCTTGCGCGATTTGTTACGAGTAGAATGAGTTTTGTCTTCAGGAAGAAGAAGACGCTTTAGCAAAAGCGATTGCTCTTTCATTACAAGAAGCCGACAAGGCTCCAAAGACTACCAAGCTCTATCATTCCTTGACTACTTCCTACCCTTCTACGAATGGCACAAGTAACAAGTAGGTATTTCTTTTTTCTTTTACATTAATACTTTCTCTTGAATGTTTTTGTGTGAACATTACGTTTTATTACACGTGAGGGGTCGCTAGCAAACTTGAGGCATTTAAATACTCCTTGGGCAAAACTGGTGTTAGGTACATGAAATTGGTTCATCCAGCCTGAAGCTCTTTCTCCCTTTAAGCTGCATTCACACTTTGCGATTCAGCGTTATAGGAGATCATCGTTCTGAGTAAAGAGGATTGCATAGGTTTCGATCGGCGGCCAGAACAGATTCGCTGAATGCCGATTCGCTAGAAACACTCAGCACCCATAATTTCTTTTTCGCTCAGAAAGTCAATTTGCTCAAAACACGGTTTCTTCCAAAACGCCGATTCGCAAATTATGGACGCAGCCTTTAGCTTGGACAAAACTCCTCATCTTCATTTCGGTAGTTAGTTCTAGTTTTGCACAAGGAGTACTGAAGCCCTTTTCCATCGTTAGTGGCGCCTGAACGGCTATTGGAAATGCTTTCATGTTTTGGCTGTACTGGCGCCAAATGACATGTTAGATAAACCCTCAACTGTCTGGTTTGTTCGGCTGTCGTTCGCTTTTAGGTCGTCGTAACTCGTCCTGTAATCAATGGAAAACACACACCCCACCCTTTGAAAAAGAGAAAAATCCGCTTCACATGCAATGCTAGTGATAGCTTTACGGTAGTGTAGCGGCACATTTAGGACCCACCTCTTTCCGTACCTGCAACATATTAAGAGCCGCGCTTTTTTTTCAATATTCTCGATCAGATTCTGAAGCACTCGAAGTGTCTCGTTAGTCTCGGTCCTGGGCTACAGAGTAGGTAGTCATATAACCTGGTTTGCGATTGATCAGCTAAATTGCATATATTCCCTCTGAAATCTAGACCGAATCAGATCAGCCGATTAGTTTCTATAAACTCCTGTAGGTAGCCCATCATAACCTCGAAAATCACCTGGAGGAGTATACCTTGAACAGCTAACATTTTCACTTTACTGAATAGTGGCTATAGGAAGCTAAAAATGAAACCATGTAACACTTTCACTGCCACTTCCCTCACAATAGTCTGTATTTGCATCATTCAGGTGCATAACTCTAATGGCTTTTAACGTGCTCAATTCCAGGACTAGTGAGCGTACTGTTCGTGCATTGTACGACTTTGAAGCTGCCGAGGACAACGAGCTTTCATTCGTTAGTGGGGATCTTATTACAGTGACGGACGATAGGTTTGAATTTCTCTTGTGATTATATGTTTAATATCACTAATACGTTTTACACGTTCCGGACCAATGTCTATTCCGCGTGGTGTTCGCGTGTGGCCGCGACCTTCTTCAACACCCGGCTGGCGTGACACACCATGTGTGTGCGATACGTGTGCTCTCCGTGGCGCGTGACACGCCATGTGCGTCACGAGGTCACGGAGAGCACACGTATCGCACACAATATGTCACGCGGTCCGGAATGTGTTAATTATCCTTTTAAAATTTTGACGTGTGCTCTTTTAGTAATCCAAACTGGTGGTGTGGAAGGATCGGTGTCCAGCAGGGACTTTTCCCGTCCAGTTTTGTCACGTCGGATCTTTCGGAAGTTAAGGCAGGTTTTATATCAGAACGATTGCTAGCGTATAAGTGTTGGCGGGGTGAACTGTCAATATAGTGTTATTTTGGAGGTTTTGTTGTTGTTTATGATACTGTCCTTAATTTTTGTAGCCCGAACCCACCTCTGTAACGTCAGCAGCCCCAGCGGCCCCCGCGACCATTGACGAGTCAGTGTTGCTGCGTTGTATTCAAATGCTTGAAGATTGTGATCCTACCGGCGACACTCCTGATCCACCAGAGCTGGCTACCGTAAGTTCTTTACATTTTTTCTTCGTATTTGCAATTTTTTTTCTTGTCGAAA